ATGTGCAGAATAACCTCTGAGGGTTTTAGTTACTTAAAATAATTTTTTATCCTGCTCAGACATTTTAGTCACATGAACAAAAATAAAGACAAAATTTTTCCCAGAGTGTCACCCTCCAGCATAGCTGTTTTTATTTTTGTTTGCATCTAGTCCTTATCTGTGTGCATACATTATAGTTATAACACAAGTGCAATTTCATATTCTGCTTTTGAATAAAAGTGACTTACTATTGTAATAAAAATGATAGTTTATCATAAAAGAATTTTATACCATAGAAAAAAGTAAGAAGGAAAAAAAACCTTTAGAGATTACATTACCCAGAAAGCTAGTGTTCTTCAAGGAATGAGCATCATTGCGGACATGTTACTGGATGGACACACATAAAAGGGAAAATAATGAAATCATCGTGTACATCCTATTAAAGCAAGCACACACAAACGAGTGACACTCAGCTTTTAATGTTTATTTGTACCTTTTTTAAAATATATTTTTATTTCAGAGAGGACGGGAGAGCGAGAGAGAGAAACATCAATGATGAGAGAGAATCATTGACCGGCTGCCTCTGGGCATGCGCCCTGACCGGGAATCAAACCATGATCTCCTGGTTCATAGGTCAACAGTCAACCACTGAGCCACACCGACTGAGCCGTAACTTTTTTTCTTAATCTTTTGAGAATTTCTCTTATTCTTAAAAAATTACCTGAAGGTCAGCATTATTTCAGGTTTAGTTCAGGTTTATTTTTCTGTTATTGTCAAGGAAAAGATCTTACTAAGGTTAAGAAAAAGATTAGAGATTAGAGGTTTTTATTGTTTTTACCTAAGTATATTCCTTTTAGGACAATGGGGGTTCACTTCCTGCTCTGAAAGATGAGCTTTGTCTTCCCCTTCCTGCTCTTACCTTTGATTTTCATTCATTCAGTGTGTATTTTAAGGTTATAACATTGGTGACTATTACACAATTATAATTACCCTGGTTGTGTCATCCATTTTTATGGCATTTCTTTAGGTGAGGTTTTCACACTCCATTTTCTCAAAGAGGATGCTATCATCCAAGAAATTCCATGCTAGAGAATATGTTTTTGTTGCCTTTATCTTTGAAATGACAGCTTGGCAGGTTATAATACTCTTTTTTAAAAATATATATTTTATTGATTTTTTTACAGAGAGGAAGGGAGAGGGATAGAGAGTTAGAAACATCGATCAGCTGCCTCCTGCATACCCCCTACTGGGGTTGTGCCCGCAACCAAGGTACATGCCCTTGACCAGAATCGAACCCGGGACCCTTGAGTCCGCAGGCCGACGCTCTATCCACTGAACAAAACCGGTTAGGGCAGGTTATAATATTCTTAACACATACTTTTCTCCAAACATCCTATAGACTTATTTTTTTCTGACATTCATTGTTATATAAGAAATAAGGCCAGATGTGCCCCCCAACTTTGGCCCTCTTTAGCAGGTGACAATTTTTCTGCCTGAAGAGTCCTTTTTTCCCTCAATTTCAATTAACTATCAGCATGTGTTAGTATTCATCATTTTGTATTAGATTTTCCTGACCACAGGAGGGGCGTTGCATTTTCAGGTAGATTTTTATACTCAGAGGAATGTTCATTTAAGTGGTCCACTGAGTTATTTTCTCTCTGTTAGGCTTTCCATTCCAGAAACATGATTATCTTCTTGCTAGATAGTCTTGTCTTCCATATCTGTTACCTTCTAATTACTTTGATCATCTTGATCTCTTGCTGTTGCTTTTCCTCTATCTCTGAAAAATTTTTCCTTTGTGCTAATAATTCCCTTTTTGTTATGTCTCTTATCATCTTGGGTATTTTGTTTCCTGCCTTTTCACCTCATTCTTGGATTATCTCTTCTCTGAGCTTCTTTTGTAAACTGGCTTCGTGTATTTTGAAGTTCATCTTCAGTGTACGAAGCACCTTCTCCCCCTTGTTCTATTATATATTCTCTTATCATCAAGGACTTGCATTTCTTTCCAGATAGTTGGAGGCATAGGAGTTGCTTTGTACCTACTTTTTTTCTGTACCCTGAAGGGCATGGGGCAGGATGAAGTGGTTCTGCTGGGCGAGGAAGATGCTGACAACCTAGTTCTAGGCTCTGATCTCTTCTGAGCTCTTTTAATGTTTTATGTTGGAGCCCAGCCGGGGCTTCCCACTCCTGGGAATTTCTGCTGAGGTCCATTGGTGCCCTGGAGGGGTTCCGTTCTGCGTTTTTTGTCCCTTTGACACGTCTCCTTGGGTGGTGTGATAGCTCTTCTGCATGCTTCTGAGTTGGTGGGGGAGGGTAGTGAGGATTTAAGAGTTGTGTCAACCTGCTTTGATTTCCTAAGCCGTTTCTGTGCTCCGGGCCAGGAAAGAAATGATGTTCCACAAGTTTTAGTTCTTCGTTACATGTTTTTAAGTTTATGGCATAAGGACATACCCCTTTTTTGTTTTAGTTGCCATAAGTATATTCTGGCTTTCTTTTAAATATTTTTACCATTGGATACTACAATCTGGGATCTTCATACTACCATTCAACTTTTCACTTAGCATTATATAGCCATCAGCATTTTGGCAGGATTAGTTTGGTTTTTTTGTTGTTGTTTTTAGCATTTAATCCTTCTCCGGGGATATGTTTTTATTGAATTTTCAGAGAGAGGAAGGGAGATTGCAGGAGGGGGGCATGGATCGCTTGCCTCTGACATGCACCCCAGTCAGGGATCGACCCCAAAACATGGGCATGCCCCCATCAGACATCGAACCTGCGACCTTTGGTGCACAGGACACCTCTCCAGCCAGCCAAGCACATGGCCAGGGCTTGGTAGGTTTGAAGTTGAGAACATAATTACTATAATCACCAATTAATTTATTTCACCCTTAGGAGGAGTTTGCAAACCAAAGCTGATCAGCAAGTCAAACAGCAGGAAGTCCAAATCTCCTGTCCCTGGGCAAAGCTACTTAGGAGCTGAGCGGCCCTCTTCAGTCTCCTCCGTGCATTCAGAGGGGGAGTACCACCGGCAGACGCCAGGGTGGGCCTGGGAGGACAGGCCCTCTTCTACAGGTGAGGGGCTGCCTGCTAGAAGATGAGTCTTAAAGTCCTTATAGTAATGCCTTGGTTAGTATTTCTAAAATAAGAAACTTTGCTTGTAAAACTGTATTTCCATTACTGTGTCATCAATAGGCTCTCTTTCCAGAATAGAAATTGAATACATGTAGCCTTAAAAATGTCAATAACACAGGGTCTGATTACCATGAACAGAGGAAGAGCTATGCGGAAATTTCTCATCCATCCGCCCTTCTATGTTATGTTGGCATTTGCAAAGCAAGTGTGTCTGTGGTTTCAGTTCTGCATGAATTAACTCTACCTGAATGTGAAGTGCCACTCCCCCAGCAGCCTCACCTGCAGCCTTTCCCCGACATCCCTCCAGGGTTCTTAGGGAACACTAGGGTATCCAAGTCAGAGATGGAAAGAGCAGTTTAAAAAGACACTTGCCCGCCCTAACCGGTTTGGCTCAGTGGATAGAGCGTCGGCCTGCAGACTGAAGGGTCCCAGGTTCGATTCCAGTCAAGGGCATGTACCTTGGTTGCAGGCACGTCCCCAGTGGGGAGTGTGCAGGAGGCAGCTGATCGATGTTTCTCTCTCATCGATGTTTCTAACTCTCTATCCCTCTCCCTTCCTCTCTGTAAAAAAAAAACCAATAAAAATATATATTTAAAAAATAAAAATAAAAAGCCACTCGCCCTCCTTTAGGTGCACTGTGTCCCTACAGACAGATGAAAACAGTTCTCTAGCATTTGTGCCCGTTTGAAAGCTGCTTTTTTAAAAAGACTTAATAATGGTGTCTTTTAGAAAACAGACTTACCCTTTTTTAAAAACAAAACTGGGATGTTTGCTATGGATTAAGTTTCAGAGAATTATAAGCCACCCTTTCCTTAGATGTTAATGTACAGATGTCAGTGGGAAACTCTGAAAGGTGCCCTCCCCTGAGGACATGTACATTTCACACGGGTGTTGTCAGCATAATTGAAGACTCTGATTCCTAAATTTCTCACACCAGATGTGAAGTCCTTATGTACTAGTTTGAAGACTTGCCTAGATCAGTGATTGTCCTCAAATCTCTCTTAGGGAAGGAATTATTAAACCATTCATGAAATTACTTAATAAAATGGTATGCTTTCTGTTAGAGGTTCTTAATCTGTAGGAGACTTTCTGGGGACAATAAGATAATTTAGGAACTGACAAAAGGTAGCAGTGCTATCATTAGGTTTGTGTATCCCTCTTCTAAATCTTGTACATTCATAAATCTGCCCAGTGTGATCCAGCAGATGACCCTCATCCTGCTGCCCATGACCTAGCAAATTCCTGGGTACTTCTCCCCTCCTCCTGTGGGAACTGTGTCTCTGACTGTAAGAGTCAGGAAGTTCTGGGAGTAACCAGACTCCTTTGGTTAGAGCTCCGTATCCAGAAGTTCTGTTTATATTCTCTGGAAACACCTAGTTCTAGACTTAAAATCCAGGCCTGAGCTTTCATTTCTGGACTCAGCAACCCTCACCTCACGTGTGTATTCATGTTTGACCTTTCTAGACTGCTGCATTATCACTGGCTACACAGTCCAGTGGGGAAACCTGGCCCTCTGTGTGGTTTCCTTTTGCTTAGTTTTACAAGATTATTTTAGTATAATCCTGGCCGCCTCCATCATGTGAAAACAGCGACTATGCTCATGACAGTGAACACCTAATTTTTCTTTTGCCAGGCTCAACTCAGTTTCCTTATAACCCTCTGACTATGCGGATGCTCAGCAGCACGCCACCAACCCCGATCGCATGCGCCGCCGCCTCTGTGAACCAAGCAACTCCTCACCAGCAGAATAGGATCTGGGAGCGAGAGCCGGCCCCGCTGCTCTCAGCGCAGTATGAGACGCTGTCGGACAGTGATGACTGAGCTGCACAGAAGAGGGATCTGGGTGGGACCATGCGTGGAGGAGGGATCTCTAGTTTTTGGTGGTTTTATTTTTAACTGCAGGTAAAAACCTGCCTTCCCATGACTTGTGCCCAGAGACTTTTCAGGAGAGCCTGGACCACGGATGAGGAAGAAATGATGGAACTGCAGAGTCAAATGGGGGAGAACTGCCTTTGATACAAGCAGTTCAGTGGATTATAATAATAGTGGAAGGTTGGAATATAGAATTTTTTAAAAGTGGACAATTCTTATTCTTACATCTGTAAAGAAAACCATAATGTCTTTAAATCACTCTTCTGTAAATAGATGATCTTTTTGCAGTGTTGCCCTTTACTGTAGTACCTGGTGGACTTGTGTTGAAATCAGAGCATCAACTTCGGGGGTGACTTTTTAAAACCTTCTCGTCTCTCTTTTTAACCCTGGCCTTCTAAACAACCTCATACAGCCCAGCGTGTAATGTTGGCTGTCACGGGCATTGTACTTTTATCCTACTGTTTCCTCTAAATTCAGGTTCCCAGGTGATATTTAAAATCTTGTGGAAATGTTTAGATTTTTAACACAGACCCTGTTGTGAAATCTGTATATTAATGTGTTAAGGTCATGATAGAAGAAAAAATTCTGCCATACTGTAAATTTCCAGGCAGGCTTAGAAATTTTTTTAATTAGGAGCACTGAAGCAATATTACTGCATGGGTATGTTCTAGTTGTTTTTAACATTTCAAAGGCTTATTTGCGGCGCGCCTCGCTGTTGTGCGCACCGGGGATCTAACTGCCCTGAGTGTTCTTTTCTGCTGCATTGGATGCAGCACCAGAGCTTTCCTTCTGAAATAAATTTGACTGCCCTGTCCATAGGCACAGTAGGTTGTGATTTAAGGCTCTTGCTCTCTCAGGACTCAAAGGAAACACTTATAATTGTACTGAGTTCGATGTATATTACCGGCTGAGTTAGAAGATAGGATTTGTGTAGCACCTTGGGCTTCTAGATTGCTTTGTGCTGCATGTTCTGACCTTAGCGGTGAACACACGGTCCTTCCCTTCTCTCTGCGCTAGTGCTTCCTCCCACTTGATTCCCTATGGGCAAGGGTTTGTCGTTGAATGTTCCCATGTCACTGAATCTCAAGGAGCAAATAACGTAAGACTGAATTTTAAACTGATTATGGTACTGAAGGGTCAGTTTTTCCTTCATTAATAATTGCTTTTTGAATTTTTAAGATTTTTTCATACAACTTAGGCATAGTTATTGCATCATCCTTCTGCCGCATTTAGATGCTGAGCAGCTTGGGGAGATGCCACTATTACAAAGGGGAGTAGTCTCAGGATGGTAGAAATCTGTACTTCACAGACTTTTAAGTAGACCTCAACTTTTTACAAAAGTACTGAAGCCTCTAAGGAAAGCAGATCTGATAACCACTGACGACCTTCTTTGTAATGAAGCGTTTCATGTGTGATCAAGACCTTCACATCACCCTTAGCACTGCTGTCCAACCCTATTTATAGATAAGGACACATGTTCCTACCTTGCCTGTATAAATAGGCAACAAAGACAGGCCATGAACTCCTGTTTGTCTGAAGTGAAAGCCTTCACTCCTGTTGCTTTTCCACTCTTGTATACCTGAGGTCCTCAAAATAAACCTTAGGTCAGGTTTAGTGATCAGATTTCTACTATGTGGAAAGTTGGTTTCACTTTATTATAAATATATCCTACACAATTTAATGTGAATGAGAAAATAACTGAATGTTCTACTTAACAGTGTTCTGTTTTTTTGGTTTTTTAGGTACTGTCATTAATAATTTACATTGTCAACTGACCCAAACGAGATTATGATGGTATTTCCCTATGACCTTGAAGGTCTTAAGCTATTCCAAGTCAGAATAGTTTCTGAGAATACATCAGAGCCTAACTTGTCATTTTGCAGCCCCACCTAACCCCCCCAGTGAGCAGCTACTATCCCTCACCCCATCCTTGTCACAGTGCATGTGTTTCCTTCATCTGCCTTCACCCAGAGAAGAGATTTCCGAATTCTCACACGCCTTACCTAAGGAGCAAATCTGGAGGCTAGAAGTCCGCCTCAGCATGACTGGAGGTGGCCAGCACAGCACTGAGTGACCGGTGACTTGAAGTTGGCTGTAAACCAGGTGTAACACTGCCTGCAGGCTGAGATCTCAGTGTTCTGAAGTATTTTTTGCCAATCTGACAAAGTAATAGGTATAATTTTGATTCATTCATACTGGACGGCTACTGTTGTGTTGGCTGTTGTAACTTTTTTTATTTAACAACCTAAGGGAAAAGAGGTCAGTGCCCCTGACTAGTCGGGTACTGCATGTTTTAAAAATTCTTGCAACAAACAGGCTGAAAATCGCTCATTTAAGCCATTGATTTGGGTGCCACTGATACTGGGAAATTTCCTACAACAAAAAGGGATTCAGAGCTTGATTAAGTCAAAGGTCTACTTTTTCTGATTTCGCATGATTTTTCAGCACCAGATTTTCCTAATACCCTCCATGGAAGTATTCTGACAGCCCAACTTCCAGAGCATGTTTGTAACGGGAGGTTTCATAAGCTTTCATTTTGGTATGCTGAGTGATCCTATTTTAAACACAAGCCCTAGCTGGTTTGGCTCAGTGGGTAGAGCATCAGCCTGCAGACTGAAGGGTCCAGGTTTGATTCCATTCAAGGGCACATGCCCAGGTTGCAGGCTCGATCCCCAGTAGGGGGCATGCAGAAGGCAGCCGATCAGTGATTCTCTATCATTAATGTTTCTCTCTCCCTCTCTCTTCCTCTCTGAAGTCAATAAAAAACATAAAAAAATAAAAGCATGCCCTGAACACTCTAGAATGAGAATACCCACAGGAAGCGACCATCTTTCTGAAAACTAGTTTTTCCAGCACCAGGTCCATGAGTTGAATCATTGTGGAGGATCAAAAATTCTTAATAAAACCTGAAGTGAAAAACCTAACTTCCAGTAACCCCTGCAATTGTGAAAAGGTAAAAATATTCCCAATGCAGAAGGTGAGTAGTTGACAGTAATTTTTTTAAATCATCAATAAGTTAAGAATGGGCTGCACTGAAACCTAGTCTGCTTTATACTACACTTTATCTCTGAGTTAAGACTTAACTAAAGGAATTAGCTGGCTGGTCAAGAATAGATGAGCTTAAAGTGAGAAGAAGCTCATATCTGCAAAATACAAAATTCTAGCTTTAGTCAAATCTCTAATGGTTTGAACCTTAGTATTTTATTTTTATTAACTCCAGTAAGTTACTTTTTATGAGCAACTCAAAAATTATGACATGTACAATATTGTTGTAGAGTAATTTATTATGAAAGGATTCTTCCAGTATGTACATAGGAACCAAAAATATAGTTTATCATTCCCACTCATAACCCAACCCCAAAGGCATACCAGTAACAAGGGTTCCTTCACGGTGCGAAGAAAAACTGCCTTCCCGAGGCCACCAGGTCTTTGCAAGGTAAAACGCCCATCTATGCATCTTGTATTTAGACAGTCCGACTTTCAGTGGTTTGACTTAACAATTTTTCAATTTTACGAAGGTGCAAAAGTGATAGGTACTCAGTAGAAACTGGCGGGGTAAACTATTTACTAGGTTAGGTGTATTTAATACTTGTTTTTAAACCTTCACCCGAGGATATGTTTATTGATTTTAGAGAGGAAGGGAGACAGAAAGAGAAACTTCGATTGGTTGCCTCCTGAAAGCTCCCCAACTGGGGATGGAACCTGCAACCCAGGTATGTGCCCTGACCTGGAATGGAATCCGCACACTTGGGTGCATGAGACAACACTCCAGCCAACTGAGCCACCCGGCTGGTGCATATTAAATGTGTTTTTGACTTAGGGTATTTTCAATTTATGACGGGTTTATCAGGACATAACCCCATGATGAGTTGAAGAGTATCTGTATACACTTTCTAGTCTGAGGAAAAATGATAGAGTTCTTTCAACACAGCAATCTATTCATTTAGATCATTTGACCAAATACCTTCTCCCGTGGCCAAGAAAGAATCTCTTTTGTCCTTTACTTTACAAATGAGGGTACCGAGACCCCATTCCAAAGCCAGAAGTTGGGTCCAGCCCAGCGACTCCTGCTGGGCCTATGGTACACGTCAGCACTCCAGGAATGCGGTAGGGCCTACCCTGTGGTGAGGTTCTGGGTGCAGGTGGCTGCTCCGTGATTTGTTCTTATGGCAGAGATGCCTGTGTGAATTATACACCCACCCAGGGGAAACTGACCCATCTTAATCTACAATTAGACCTGCATGGAGCACCTAAGTATGCTACACTGAAAAATTACTTGACATCTTTAGAAGTCAAAGTCAGGTGTGAAAGTTGCTTTTCCTGTAAAAAACAAGCGGAGGTGCAGTGTTTAACCTGTCCTGCACAGAGGCCAAGCTGAGGACACTTGAGGATCAAGGACAAAAGGTTTAAGCCAGTGATTTTCAACTCCATCTCGTGGCACATAAACTAAATATGAAAATTCTGCAGCACACCAAAAAAATATATTTTTTGCCAATCTGACAAAGTAATAGGTATAATTTTGATTCATTCACACTGGACGGCTACTGCTGTGTTGGCTGTTGTAATTTTTTTTATTTAACAACCTAAGGGAAAAGCGGTCAGTGCCCCTGACTAGTCGGGTACTGCATGTTTTAAAAATTCTCGCAACAAACAGGTTGAAAATCGCTCATTTAAGCCATTGATTTGGGTGCCACTGATACTGGGAAATTTCCTACAACAAAAGGGGATTCAGAGCTTGATTAAGTCAAAGGTCTACTTTTTCTGGACAGCTCGGCCAATTCTTTCCTGATGTGCTGTACTGAAACCTCATCTCTTTTGAGCTTTGCTTGCTTCAGTGCTTCCTGGTAGATCTCTTTTGCTTGTGCATATCGTTCTAAAATAACCCAGAGAGAAGGGAGAATAAGAAAAAAAAAGTATGCTTTTAAAGTGATTCTGAAGAGAAAGCACTAGTGATGATGCAGGTCGGTGCTGGCTCAGAGAAGTTGTAAGGGGGCACAGGTAGAGAACTCTAGCCCAGTGCGTGCTGTAGTTCTCCTACCGCCCAGTACAGCCCTGGGGCCCTTACTCCACTGACCCAGGGCTTCACTCATGGGGAGAAAGGACCTGTCATCCAGGCTTCTGGGAATTATAGGTGAGGCCCTGAGTACTATGGCACAATCTGTCTAACAGACACTGACACTCCATCTTACCAGTTTCACAAGTACACAGTGAAGAACAAATTAAGTTGTACGTGTGAACACACTTAGAAATCTGTAAAGCACTACAGAACTGAGGTACTATCATTGCAAAGTTCTCTCTGCATTGATGTGGTTCAGCAAGCTAGTGCAGGACTACAGAAGTTATGTCAATTGAGCACAATGGTATTTCTGCCAAACATGCACCCTTTTTTCTATTGTTCAACTAGCTTTTGATTGTGGAGCTTCCTCACTGCCCCTTGCCACTGCTTAACACCATTTCACAGATTTATAAATCCAGTAACTCCCTCCCTAACGAAATCAAGTGGTCAACATCACATAGCTCCCCTACCTCTGTGCATCAGAACTGCAGCCAGGTTACTCAGCACCATGTGCAGCTCAGGATGTCCTACTTGTCTTGCCAGATCTGACGCCCTCTGCACGTACGCACAGGCCTCATCAAAGTGGCCTTGTGCATCCAGGGTGGTAGCCAGGTCACTCATTAGCACAATGGTCTATACAAGAAAGACAAACAGGCAGCTTTTCTATTAAAAAAACACCCACAGAGATTTAACGTTAATTTGGAGTCTGATAACCTTCCAATATATACTTAAGATTTCATCTGTCCTAGCATTCCACAAAAGGGGAGGAGCATTAGCCACTAACAAACTGGTGCCTTTATCATTCACACTGTATAATGGGCAGCTTTAGTTCGACCCTCTGGAAAATGATACAAATCTAGAAACTAGGAACAAGATAAATATAATTTACTAATATATCTAATTATATTAGAAACAAATGAAAAATAATAGCAAAAAGAAGCTATAATATCCCATTAAGGTTCAGCAATCTTTTTTAAAATGGATTTGAGAGAGAGACAGACATCTATTTATTCCAGTTATTTATACATTCACTGGTTGGTATTTTATGTGCTGTCACTGGGGATCGAACCCAAAACTTTGGCATACTGGGACGAGGCTCTAACCAACAGAGCTACTGGGCCCAGGGCAGTTCAGCAATCTTAAGAAGCCAGCCACTGCATTGTAGCATAATATCATTCCTACTGGTGACCCTGAGACTCATCAAGAAGAAATAGGGATAGCCCAGCCAGTGTGGCTCAGTGGCTGAGCATCAACCTATGAACCAGAAGGTCAAGGTTGGATTCCTGGTCAGGGCACATGCCCGGGTTGTGGGCTCAGTCCTCAGTAGGGGGCGTGCAGGAGGAAGCCAACTAATGACTTTCTCTCATAGATGTTTCTATATCCCTCTCCCTTCCTCTCTGAAATCAATAAAAATATATTTTCTTAAAAAAAGAAAAAAAATAGAAGAAATATATCATCCACTTTAGGAAGATTCCCATTAAAAAATTTTTAATGTTGGTACTAAGAGAGGCAAGTCCTCCTCTTCACCATTAAGGGGACTCTATAATTAAGCCCTAAATCCCTTTCCTGAAGGTAATTCATAGCCCAATAACTTGCCCTGCTCATCTACCCCAACCTTGAGACATGTCCAGTCCAGTTAAAATTGTGTTGGCAATACCAAGCGTTCACAAAGTGATCCACTTGTTACCTCTACAAACGTTGTCTGATAGAGGAGAGACCCAGAGGTGATTTCAACTCAATTCCATGTGTTTAGTGTTCTAACCGAAAGCTTAGCATGCTTTGCTTAAATTCTGTCAGTAGTCTTAAAAAATTTTTTTAATGTGCTCCTCCCTCTCCCCCGCCGTTTCCTGTCATTCACCTGTGAGGCAAGGGAGGCGAGGATCCTCAGGAGTTGAACTGTTCCACGTCAGATTCAATATTCTGAAATACTGTGCTGTGTACTATGAAGCCCAGAAGCACCTGGGTGCCTGGCCAGACCTGCTTTTAGAGAGGTTGCTCTGCTGTGGGAACCAATCCTCCCTCAAAAGTTTCTGGGAGACCCAGCCAGTGACCAGCAGTCCCAAATCCTTCCTCAACAAGCAGGTGGGGGCGGGGGAGTGGTAGGAGATGAATGGACTGGGGCATGAGGAGGAGGGCATCCCAAGGACCACCTGCTGATTACATCCCCAATAATGAGGCATTTCACACCCAGAAATTCTGAAACCTGTTTTCCTCTCTTACCTGTGGGTGTCTTTCTCCTAGTATTTCTTCAGAAATATGCAAAGCTTTTTCATACATCCTCTGTGCCTGCGATGGCTGCTTGGAGGACAGAAGGTAGCGAGCATAAGCATCTAAGCACATGCCGAGGAGGAGGCGGGTGTTGGCTTTCTCTTCCACTGAGAAGGAAATAAGAGCGTTGCTGGGATATAACAAGTGCAATACAGAAAGCGAGTCAGAGAACTGGCCAACCTACCCCTCATTTTTCTTTTTTCCAGGAGCCAAAATATTTAACAGTCCAGAACCCACTGAGTGTTTCATGACACTGAAGTACTCCTGGCCTGACAATTCTGGTAGATTAACATCTACATTGTTTCCTGGACCCAATTTCAGAGAGAGAGAGACGATGTGTCACCTGGGCTTGGTTGTAACCTGGGCTTCTGACAGAGTACCTACAAACTGGAGTTATCTAACTACCCTTCCAACTCAGGATGCCAATTGCAAGTCCAGGTGGTTGTCTGTACCTCTGACTGGCTATAAGTCAGAGGACCCCAGGACCCCCTCCTTGGGTTTAATTAATTTGCTAGAGCAGCTCACAGAACTCAGAGAAACATCTTACTCACTAGATTACTGGTTATTATAAAAGGATATAATTCAGGCACAGCCAGACGAAGAAGCATTGGGCAAGGCACACAGAAAGGGGTGTGAAGCTTCCACGCCCTCTCTAGGTACACCACTGTCCCGGCACCTCCACAAGTTCAAACCAGAAGCGCTCCAAACTCCATCCTTTCGGGTTTATGTAGGCTTCATTCCATAGGTATGACATTAAATCATTGACCACTGGCCTCTTTTCCCTTCCTGGAGGTCAGGAGGTGAGAGTGAAAGTTCCAACCCTCTAATCATATGATTGGCTCCCTCTGGCAACCAGCCCCCATCCTCAGGGACTTCCAAAATGCCTCATTAACATAAAAGACACTTTGCTCACTCTTCTTTTTCTTTTTTTCTTTCTTTTTCTTTTTCCTCACTCTCAACACTTAGGAAATTCTGAGGGTTTGGGAGCTGAGAGCCAGGAACTGTACAAACCACATAAGTATATGTGAAAAATATATATTTGGTCATCCGAATGACCATATATGTATTTCCTATAAATCACAACCTCGCAATGTCCAATTAAATGACAAACTTTTTCCCACTTTTTAAATAAGTTTGAGTCCACACACTGATTAAGCGTTTGAAACTAATATTTAGCAGATACATGTGAAGATAAAACTCAAAGTAGAATGAGTTAACAACAAAGAAAGTCTGGGGCCAATGAAAGAGTTTTAAGCTGCAAAGAAAGCAATGTAGTAAGTAAGAAACCAGAGAACATCAGACTCATGAGATGGAAACTCACAGACCAAATTTAAAGATCCATTTTTTGAAGAATAACAATAAAGGCTGTGATAATACAGCACCTGCTGACACATTACAGAACTGACGACACGATGTCTGAAAAATCTTAAAACACCAAATGCCACATAGGACTGGAGAACACAAATCTAGAGGACAGTTTTGTCTGATCAAAAATGAGAATCAGCAGACAATAAAATGGAGGCCTCACCCTTAAGATTTTAGATACTTAATCTCAGATTTTAAACTCAGTCGGTTTAAACTACTTGTATGTCGAGTGTGCACCACCTCGGAGCCCTGCACCTGTTCCTCCTTTGCCTGGAATTCTCTTCCCTAGAGACTGCCAGCTGACTTATTCCCTCTCATTCTTCAGATTTCTTACCAATTAGGCCTTTCCTGACCCCTCTATAAAACAGTATACTCACTATACACATTCCTTCAAATGACATCTACGTAGCACTTCATCATCTTTGGATATGTTATCAATTTACTGGATAGTGTTGATTATGTGTTTTTCCTCCACTAGAAATTTAGCTGTAGGAGGCAGTGACTGTTTTAATGGCTGTATCTCAGTGCCTAATAATGTGTCCAGCATGTAGCAGGCATTCAGTTAAGTATTTCTTGACTGACTGGTTGAATGAATGGACAAATAAAAAGAAAGCATTAAAAATAATAAAGGTACTGAACTACATATGGAAAGGATATAATAACACAAAATTAATGTTAATTACAGAATTAAACAACACTGTCACTCCATTGATTTCTGATAACTCAATATAGAGCTGTCATTACAACTCCATAAGAAAAGGATGGACTGACTAATAAAGCAGTCCTGAGCCAAAACCTGTCCATGAGGGGGAAAAAATTATACTGCCCCTCATACCACATTAAGAAACAAATTCCAGGTAAATTAAAGACTAAATGGGAAGCCAAATATTTAGAAGAGACGATCTTTCTGACCTTAGAAGAGTGAAGGATTTTTTACTAAAGATACAAAAAGCACAAACTATAAAGGAAAATATCAAAAGATTCTATTATGGGCCCTGGCTGTTAGCTCAGTTGGTTAGAATGTTGTCTGATATGCCAAGGTTGCAGGTTCCATCCCCAGTCAGGGCATATACAAGAATCAACCAAAGAATGCTTGAATAAGGGGAACTGCAAATTCATTTCTTAATCTCTCTCAAATCAATTTTTAAAAACAAATGTTAATCGCTCTGTCAAATGCCACATGTGAAAAGACAAGGCCACAAAGAGCTATGCAACCTACAGATATAAGATGATCACATACATAAAAAATGCTCAATCATTAAGAAAAATACAACCCGTCCAGGCGGGTGGCTCGATTGAAGCTTTATTCCGCATACCAAATGATTGTGGGTTTGATTCCCAAACAGTGAGTGCAAAGGAGGCAGCCAATTGATGTTTCTCTCTCATATTGATGTTTCTCTCCCTTCCTTCCTCTAAAATCAATAAACATATCCTCGGGTGAGGATAAAGTAACAAAAAAGACAACGCTTTTAAAAAATAAGCAAAGGATACAGAGACAATTATCACAGGAATATGAATGTTCAAAAAAATCCTTGAAAAGAAAAGATATTCTGTATCTCATTAGTAATCAGAGAAACACATTGAAGCCACAGTAACAGCCCCTATCATACCCACCAGATCAAAAAAAATGTTAAGTCCAACAATAAAAATATAGAATTTACAAGAATGCTAGCACATTGCTAGTGAAAATGTAAACAGGTAAAACCATAACAATAAGCAATTTGGTAATAACTAGTAATGTACCCCAGCAATTCTACTCCCAGGTCCATACCCCAGGGGAATATCTTGCATGTGTGCCCAGAGACAAAGGTTCAAGAATGTTTAAAAAGATATTATTTTCCACTGCAAAACATGTAGAACCTACATATCCATGAATAGGAGAACTGGAGTATATTCATATGATGGAATCCTATACCACAGTTGCAGTGCATGAACCAATTAGGGCCACCTCTAGCCTGTGTCACTCTGCAAGAATGGAAAGAAAGGCTCACCTCATCCCTCACTACCCATGCCAGTGGGCTTACTTAGAAGTCACCACTCTGCTGCTCTAAGTATCAACATGGATAACTCTCAACAACATAATGATGAGTGAAAAAAGAAACTGTACAGTATACCATTCATATAAAATTTAAAGACACACTAGCCCCATTATTTACATGATATCTACAGTGCAATAAATAGGCATAAGAATGATAAAGACCAAAACCAAAATCAGGGTAGGAGTTATGTTGAACAGGAGTACACAGGGATTTAAACTTACCAACGTAAAGTTCTGAAGCACATATGGTAAAATACTGTACTTACTCTACTAGACGCAACAAAGCTGAAGGTAAATGTGTACAGGTATTTGTTAAAGTCTCTACACATTATTTTTGCTTGAAATCTTTTAAAAAAAATACACTGGAAGAAGGAAAGCACAGAACCGACTTTTCTGAATATGTTAGTAACATAGAACAACTAGAGAAATTCCCAAAACACAGACAAAACTGAGACAGTCGAGGGTAGACATAAAAGGACAGAGAAGAGAGAGGCCAATATACAAGTAAATGACATTCCTGAATAAAAGACTCAAGAAGTAGAACTGTGCAATAATAAAAAATATATTACAGAAGCTCGAGAGAACTGGATCTTAAAAATGGAGGTTCCCCACAGACCAGGAAAAATTCATTAAAAAAAAAAATGAACCCCCTAACCTTCTATAATCTATAATAATAAAAGGGTAATATGCTAATTAGACCGGACGTCTTCCGGACATCCTTCCTGATGAAGCCGGGGCCAGAGGGAAGCCAGCCCAGGTCCCGGGTACCAGCCGGCAGCTGGAGGAGGGAAACAGCACGGGTCCTGGTTGCCTGCTGGCAGCCGGAGGTGAGAAGCCCGGGTCCAGGGTGCCAGAGGGAACTTCAGGGTAGACAGAAACTTCAGCAGGAAATTATAGCTAATTTGCCTACAAACGTCAGATGAGAATGATAAAGACCAAAACCAAAATCAGGGTAGGAGTTATGTTGAACAGGAGTACACAGGGATTTAAACTTACCAACGTAAAGTTCTGAAGCACATATGGTAAAATACTGTACTTACTCTACTAGACGCAACAAAGCTGAAGGTAAATGTGTACAGGTATTTGTTAAAGTCTCTACACATTATTTTTGCTTGAAATCTTTTAAAAAAAATACACTGGAAGAAGGAAAGCACAGAACCGACTTTTCTGAATATGTTAGTAACATAGAACAACTAGAGAAATTCCCAAAACACAGACAAAACTGAGACAGTCGAGGGTAGACATAAAAGGACAGAGAAGAGAGAGGCCAATATACAAGTAAATGACATTCCTGAATAAAAGACTCAAGAAGTAGAACTGTGCAATAATAAAAAATATATTACAGAAGCTCGAGAGAACTGGATCTTAAAAATGGAGGTTCCCCACAGACCAGGAAAAATTCATTAAAAAAAAAAATGAACCCCCTAACCTTCTATAATCTATAATAATAAAAGGGTAATATGCTAATTAGACCGGACGTCTTCCGGACATCCTTCCTGATGAAGCCGGGGCCAGAGGGAAGCCAGCCCAGGTCCCGGGTACCAGCCGGCAGCTGGAGGAGGGAAACAGCACGGGTCCTGGTTGCCTGCTGGCAGCCGGAGGTGAGAAGCCCGGGTCCAGGGTGCCAGAGGGAACTTCAGGGTAGACAGAAACTTCAGCAGGAAATTATAGCTAATTTGCCTACAAACGTCAGATGGTCATAAT